GATATGTCAGAAGCGGAAGGTAAACCCCGCGCGAAAAATACGCACGGAGATACCGAGAAGCGGCATACGGCTTGGCACTTCCACGCCCGCGGTCATGTTTTCGTAATTAATCGGGCGCGATGTTTAACTTTAGGCTTTTAGCACGGTTTAATATTTCAGACCACGCGTTCTCGCAGCGCCGGGCGCAGTTTCGCGCACAGCGCCGTGGCACAGAGAAATGCGACGCAATTTTTACGCGCCCGTGCTCGCTGTCGGGGAAAAGAAATGAGAAACGTAGAACGCAATGTTATCTCCTGCGCGTTATTAATGCGACAATCGACATAAAAAAAGTATCGTCTAAACGTCGGGTTTCTGTTTCTCTCTCGTATAATAAACTCGTTAATTTCAACATACACTTTTCATCGTAAGTTTCGACGTCCTTTCAAAAGCGCAAAATCTTCCCTTTATAGTTCCATTATTAGGGTTCGCCGAGATTGTTATTGCAGCTTTTCACGTCATATATTATGTCGTGCGAATTGCGAGAAGATTAATTAATGTCAATCGTAATTTCGCGAAGATAGATGAAAAGATTCGAAAAGTTTCGAGATCAGCGTCATCCCCTTCATATTTTTCGATTATCGAGATTTTCATATTACTTTACAGACTCGACCCACGATAGAAGTTGCCTATTCTCATATTACTGTACGCATAGTATGGAACTTCGTAACTCACAGGACAAGATAAATTTTGAATAATGCATCCTAAGATTACCACCAGACGCACGCCCGAAAAATTCACGAGAACGGACGGGATTCTCGCTGAGAGAGGACGAATTATATCACAACGCGGCGGGGTCGGCAGCGGACGTTATTCAGCACTCGAGTGGACAGTCTCGTTGCATCAATTACGGATATCCATTAGCCTAATTAAGCCTCGCGACATGCGCGCGAAACTGCACCGTCCGACGCCTGTCTCGATGAGACAGACGAAACGAGAAAAGAAATATCGGAAAATAAATTAATAACAATGAAAGCACGAATCGACAAAGCACGAGTCAAAACGAGAAAAAGGTGAGCAAATTATAACGAGGCATTAAATTAAAAAATAAATCGGTCGAGACAAAGAAATTGCTGCAATGCGCGCCCGCAGACCGCAAACAGATGGAGTGAGAGTGCAAACGATGTGAAACACTGACGAGACGGGGGGGTATCATTGTATGTAGATAGCGGGGGTAGTGAAATATACTTTGTCGAAAGTTTTGACAAAAGCGAAATACAAGCCTCTGCGCCGCCTTATGGGAAATTACACGATGAGCTTGCCGGATTACCGTAACCTTCCCAAGTAACTCAACCTACCCCTTTTCCTCTCGTTGATCCCCTTTTCCACTTTGTCGAGTCATTCTCAACCCCCGTCTCTCATTCCCGGAAGGTTGAAGATCCTCCCTTTAATGCTCGCCGCGATTTTACCTTCGGCATATTCGGAAAGTATCGACATGTCGTCTCGACAGGACGATGATAAATTTGGGGATCAACGCGTAAAAAGGACGAAATTTCTTCGAAAGTGTTCGAATTTTAGCAAAGCTCAGCTCGGCTTATATACGTAACGTATATTAGTCGCCGGCACACTTTCCTTCGATTTTTTTCATAATTTCATTACGAACCAGTTCCTATGAATTTTCGATATTAAATACAATTCAAATAAGAAAAAAAGAAAGAAAAACATTTGTTAGAAAAGAAACTAATGTAAAATTATCCAAGGACACGGTAAAAATAGACAATAGATTTTTTTTCATTATCCGTTTGCGTCATTAAAACTTGACGTAATAGTTTGTAATTTCGAAACATTGATATTCCAAGGAACGTACAAGGTCCTTCTCAGGGGTTTTGCTTCGTTTCTGATATTCACAGTTCTAAGATATATGCATATCTGAGATATGTATCTTTGAATCACGATCGTCAGGACGTAACGGTGCATTGGTGCACGACCGGAAACATATGCATAATGCATAATAATGCATATGCGGGAAGCTCAGGAAATTTGGTGAGAGCGACTGCGAGAATGAGAGAGAGAGAGAGAGAGAGAGAGTAAATTTAAATTGGATTGAGAGTGTACTAATGAGTCTCGCAAATTATCGCCTCTCGTGTGAGCATGAATCGACATGCTGGCAGGTTCTCATTTTATCAAAATAACTAATTAATAATTACGTGATTGAACTATACTACAAATGCTTCTCTCGCGAAATTCCTCATTAAATTTAAATGATTGACTTATGAGATTCTCGCCTAATTCAAAAACAAAAGCAAAATTTAATTTTAAATATATGATTATCTATCAATCATCAAAAGCAAAAGATAAATTTTTGACATTATATTTTACAAGTTCTATTGATTATATTATTTAGATAGATGAAAAACATACAGACTCGTAAGCGTACAAATAAGTTATAAATAAGCGCACAAATATGATAATTTATTAATAATTACAAACTGTAAAGTTATTCCGACTCGACATCGTATGCTTCTCTACCGCAGTTCTTCGTCTTTTCCAAAGTGAAGCAGAAAAATTAACGTGCATTGTTCTTGTTGCTGATAATTTTAACCGCTTCTAAAATACGCGGAATCTAAAAATAATCTTTCCACAACAGATTGAAAATATTATTTTATTAAACAATCTTTCTATTTCAATGTATGTTAAAAATTCCCAACATATGTTTTCTCGTTTCTGACATCATCAATCCAAATAATTCCAAACAGCAGAATCAATATTTTCCAACTTTTAACGACAATCATTAAAAAACGATAACGACGCCGTTACCGTTACAGTATCATTGCTCAACTATGTAAGGAAAACATACGACGACATTGTCGTTAAAATTATAGAACAGACCTACACGAGTCACAAGACGTTCAACATTGAGATATTGCTACAAATATCTCAAATATTGCTGGATATCTTTAAAATTTTATCATGAAAGTGTGATTCTATATTATCACAAAAACCTCGAAGCGAGACCCGAATTCAAAAATATTTTACACGTGCTTTGTATTTCAAACGTAGGAGCAGTCCGCGATGTAACACGTACACCGTATGTATCCTTCATTTTGAGCTATTTTACAGCACATCTCCCGGATTTCATCAAAATAGAAATTCGCTCGTAACATACGTAGCCACATTTTCGCCATCACAGGCAAAACATTTGCCATAAAATCAGAATTTCAATCATTGTCCACGGCAACAAGTTCTCGCGTTTTTCCTTCCTTCCTTTCGGCCTTTCGATTAATATATTGAAATCCGCGTATCGAAAGAGCCGAGAGAAAGTTTTCGCGGGGGAGAGTGACACGTCTTCGAGAGACGACGAATTAATTAGTCCGCAAGGCGAACTGATGAAGCCATTAATTACATCGACAGTTCAAGCAATTCCCTCGTCTTGCGGACCACCTTGTAAACCGGCGAGCGATCGCATCCAAAATCTCGAAAGATAAAACGGTCGACTCGGTCGGGCGGGGAGTCTCGAGACGAAACTTGGACGAAACCAGACAATGGTACTCCATTAAGAGCGCTTTCATCTTTGGAACGAAGTCGGTCGAGTAGCTTGACGATCCTCGATACTTAACCTCGACCATTCCTACATTCTCGCTTCCTGTTACGACGGAACGTGCTTGTAGGTCGGTGATGCTCGCAGGCAGAACAATTTTTTCGACTCCGATTTTAAACCCACTTCTTTATCCCGAGTAGGAAGATATCGCGAAAAATAATCATGGAAAGAGGTTTTCGAACGCATCAGACAATAGAAGAACTGGATTCCATGGCGAACAGGACAATATCCTTCGTGAAAAAGAAAAATAATTTCTTGTGCGCTAAAGCTGAATATTTATTTTCTCGTATTTTGAGCTTTTAGAGATATTAGATGTTAAAATTTTTAGATACTAGACGAAAATAAAATTTAACAAAATTTCGATAAAACTGTTTTAATTTTTAATAAAAAAATTATCACTTATAATATTTATATATTAATAGCATTCTATATTTTTATACGATGTACATAAGAATAATTGCATGTTACAAAATAAAGATTGACTTACCAAACATGTTCTGGAAACATTGAAATTCAATCTGGATTGCTTGGCGATGATTCGGTGATGCTGAAAAAAGAACAAAATTCATGTCAATCCGAAAAAGTGCGAGCAAAAATATTGAAATTATAATAGATGACAGAGCATGATGCATTAAAATGTAAAATTACAGATTCGCTGCGCTTTCAGGCAGCAAATTGAAATGTTTTTCATCATAACAATGACAGATGTTAACATTACATATTAAACGCATGACAATGGATATTACAATGCAATGTTTACGTTTTTATATTTTATACATTAAAAGTTAATCTATATAGAAAATACAGTATTTTCTCCTAATTATCAATTATTTCATATTATTTCTATCAATTAATCGATTAGTATGAAATTTGTTATAATGCTTTCTAGTATTAGCTGCACCGCGTAATTACAACGGTAGTAATAGAATAATACAATGTTTGTCTAATACCAGAATGAGAATAATGCCAGTCTACAATCGCGTAAATATACAATCATAGATTATGATCGTATACTTATTCAAGCGTGCATGGCGTACAGCGTGAAAGCACACTATTGTTCTCGTATTTGTATGCGTGTGTACATGTGTCCGTGTCAAGTGCTGGACAGGAAACGGACATGTTCTAAACCATATCACACAGAAGGGAAAGCAAGCACCGCCTTGCTGTTTGCTCCAACCTACGCGAATACACACAGTTTCTAGAGATCAGCGTAATCACCGCGTTATACAATATCTATTATTCATAACTTGACAGAAAGGCAAAAAGGAGAACGTATAATTTGCGTTCAAGCTTCGTGAATCTCCGGCCTGATCAGAGTCGGCCTGGTTTGATCCGATCACGAATATCTCATTGGCAAGAACACAAACGTGATCACACGATGATTCTCCACTTCCGCTACGCCTTACGGACCCCCTTGAGATTCTCGACGATTCTCGACGCTTAACCTACCCCAGCGCGGCCATACTTGATCCTCGTTACAGAACGACGGCGAACAAGTCGGAGTTGAATGGGGCTGCGAGAAAAGCAAAAGAGAGGAAGAAAGAGAGAGAGAGAGAGAGAGAGAGAGAGAGAGAGAGAGAGAGAGAGAGGAGGGGGGGGAGAGAGAGAGAGAGAGAGAGAGAAAGAAATTGCAAGAAGAGGGTAAAAGGGTGGAAAGGAAAGATGCAGGAACGCTACGTAGGTACTTCCAATTCGATCTCTGGTCTAAGCCTTTAATGCCTGCTTATTCGCTCGCCTGGAAGAGGATCCCGAAGAGGTATCTAAACTTTTCCAACGCTCCCCGGAAGAGAGCTAAACGCCGAACGATTTTGCTGCCGCCACTCCGAATACTTCTTTCCTCCGCTGACTAAGTCGTGGCAATGGCTGTCGATAGCCGAGCGAATTACGTCGTGACGGGAAATACGACGTCGATATATGAGCTGTTTATTTTAGAAACAGAATGTTACAGAATGACGACATTCTTGTGCGATTCTATATTTCCGAGCTAAATGATTTGCATAATTACAGTTAATCATTTTTGAATTTTGAGAAAAATGTATTTCATCAAAATAAATTCCTCACATTAAATTGTAGTTGAGTTTTATTTAACACATTTGTATTAATAAATGGGTCATACTTCACACATCAATGGAACGCGTTTGGTGATATCGACATTCAACATTCACGTGTCGTCCATGAATGCATTTATGTTCGTCGTGCAAATAGGATGAAATCATTTCGTTTCGATATTTGACTTGCACTACTTTCAAATAAACCATACGTATGGGGTATTTATTTTGAACTCTCTTAAAATTTGAATCTTCATGAATATATATATATATATATATATATATATATATATATATATATATATATATATATATATATGTAATATATTAATGCAAATAATTTAACGTAATGAAATTAATAAAAAACTTAAATAATTTATAATTTATGATTTAAAATTATAAATTTTATATTCGTGCTATTCCTAAATTCCATTTTGATACCTATAAAATGAAAAAAAAAATAAAATAAAAATAATCTCCTGTATCTTATATATTAATCATAGAAATTCATTGCGTAATACTCCATATCTCATTTGAAAGATTTGCAATCCTTCAAGCAGCCGGAAGTAATTCTTATCCGGATATCTCCATCAGCAATGTAGTAAAATTGCGGAGCCCCCTCTAGAGAGAGAAAAGAGAGAAAGGGAGAAGGGGAGGAGAGAAAGAGGAAAGGAGAAACGAATCCAAAGAGATCGCGAGCATTACAACGTGTACTCCCGGCATCGACTCGACTTTCCACCAGGAAAGAAAAAAATGCGGGCGAGCCGGAAAAAGGGAGGCAAAGCAAGCGCGCGCGCGCTCTATATCCCCTGGATATCGGCGATTGTGTTTTTTGTCAAGGATCGAAAGTGCCTCGTCTACCCACACCGGTGCGCTTTGACGTTTAACCGGACGCTTATCGATTGCGGAATTTATTTCTTTTCGTATCTCCAGTCTCGGCCACCATTGTCCGTTCTCTCTCTCTCCCCCCCACTCTCTCTCCCACTCCCCTCTCTCTCTCTCTCTCTCTCTCTCTCTCTCTCTCTCTCTCTCTCTTTCTCTTCGCTATTCCCTCTGTCTCTCTTCGCTGTCCCTTCTGCATCCCCAATGCCGCCCTCTTTATCCCGAATTACTCGGCCAGGCAGAACCGGTCTCTCATTCCCATTTTGTTTCCATTCCCCGACGGCTGTATAGATAGGTGAGATTAAGCTCCGCGATGGCGCGGCTGCGGTTATCAGGAGATTGCATTTTAGCATAATGGTTACGAGAGGCCGCATTGTAGCTCTGTTTTGAGGGACGCACCGTGATGTCGTTGCGTCGTGATGGGTGTCGAGGCATTTATCATGGACCAGGTATTTTTGCCTCCTACCCGGTGTCTCCGCCCTTCCTGTCGTTCACCCTCGCGCGTATACACGAGCAAAACTTGTATAATTTAAATTTCCTCCTCGACGTTGCGTAAGAAAAAGATATTGTATATTAATAGAAACATAGGAAACGTTTTGAATAACTCTAATTATGGACGATTAACGCCACCATTTTCATATCTCACGTGACCAAAATGGCAGAGGTCATTTAATTAATCGGAATTAAAAAATATGTGTAATATTAATTATATTTGTTGAAATGTAATTATAATATCGTTGTTGTAATTATCAAGTACAAGTTGGATTATCATCGAAAATGTATTTGACCGATTTATCCAACTACACGTTTGCTTGCCAATATTATTAAGGTTAAGCGTTGATTTGGTAAGCGCCATGTTTACGTGATACATCAATCGACGACGGCGAGCAGACTTGCGCGTCGATGATGCTCGTTCAATTAAGCATTTCAAGCTAATTCCGGCCTATGCGATGCATATGCATGCGCGTGCATACGCTTCATAGTGTGTCCGACTGTGTATGCTAATCGCGCGTGTTCCCAAGTTTACTCGTTTGCGCAACCAAAAAGAATGCAAAACGTGCTCTCGCGTGATACACGCGTGATACATGCGTCATACTTAAAGATGGCAATGCGGCAATCAGTTTACAGTTTATTAATAACAGGCAGATGAAACATTTTCTTTCCTTAATATTTATTTTCGTCCACGTTTGTTTAAAAATATTTTTAGAAATTTTTCTTTTGTTTTAAAAGCATTTTTATTTTTAAATAATACAGCGCTATCAGCATTTGCAATGGCTGATATTAATTCGTGAGATCATTGCACTTTGCCGGCTTATTTGATTATGCAAACCGATATATTATACGAATTCACGCTATTCGATACATTGTCCATCTACCATTCACGTTAAAACACATTTGTCAAAATTAATCAATTATTTTGATCAAGATTATCTATTATTATATATCTATATTAAATATCTATGCGACGTGTTGAACCTATATATATTACATATATATTATATATATTACAGTTAATTATTAATCTTGGCGAAATGCACATTTTGTCATTAATCTTTTCCTTTCTTTGATTAGTATCGTGATTCGACAAAGCATCAATTATCCACAATAGTAACGGCCTGTAAACTGTCAACACCTAAGGGACTATTCGTAGTCTGTTATTGTTCGCTGATTAATCAACAGTTATACAATTCTACAAACGTCCATTATATAATCTGCTGCTTATACCTTACAATAATTCATGATAATCTTCAAATAATCTCAAGCTCAGGAAACGCCGTTTCATGAAATACTGATAAACTGACCTATTGAAAGATTGATAAACGAAAGATTCAATGGTATTAGGAAAATCACGTGAGAATATAAATTCTATTTATAATAAAAGTTCGTGGGATAGAGATTCATAAATGCTAAATAATATAATTATGATTTCAAACATAAGGATCGAAAATAATAAATGATAATTCTGAAATGTATCTAAATATATTGCTCTATATAATATTCAAAAATAACATCTTAAAATACGTCAATGCCAATATATATGCATATATAAAAGATCTATATAGAATTCAATCTCAGTTATTAATTAAATTCCTTAATTAAAGTAATTTATATATCGTTTGAATTGATATTAAATCCTATCCAATAAATAATATTTTTTTTACAAATAGGCACTATAATAATATAACTTACTATTAGCAATAGAGCAAAATTTATTAAGTAAAGTATGAGTGTATCTATTATATGATTATGAAAAAAGAATCGGCAATACGAAAAATCGAGCGATCAGATTTCTGTATTGCCATCTTTTTAATTACCTAGTTATCTGCATTACAATTATCTGTTAATTGAAATTTACGCGTATTTATAACAACATATATTCGGCATTATCGTTACTACAATTCATTCCTCTTTTCTATGTATGCATAATTATACATCTATCACCGGCGATATTATTATTCGGTATATTATCTATCGATTTATGTAATATTATCAGTGATATCGTAGTAGTAGAAATTTCTCTTGCAGGAGCATAAATATTCATATTCATATTACTATTCTATAATGCTCTGGTTGTTTTGGGGGGAGCCACTTAGAACGTGATACACCTTCCTAAGTT